GGGACAAACAATTACATGAAACGTCATATTAACGCGATTGCTACATTTCATGCCTATGCTGTGAAATTAATTTCGACAAATGACCCGATAATGGATATTCCGTTCTCATTTTCGTATTATCTGCGTATCATCTGGTGTGATAATTCATTCGTATATTGTTTACAAAAACTTGCAAAATATCGATTAGCTATGATTATTTGATTATTTGAAAAAATATGTTGGCGCATTATTTTGTATAGATTATCTTTGTTTTGACAATAACTGCCGCAGTAATTTTGATCTTTTCTTTCCCGAATTGTAAACCGGATGCGGTAGAGAAGTGCATGAGAAAAAGTCGCAAGATGTAACGTGCGCTCTGTGAAAATTGGTAGGAAATAAAAATGCCTGCGTAGCGAAAGTTTTTCGACGTGTAATAATAAAGAGACGCGTGTAATTGTGGCAAGATGTTAATGCACGGTTTGATTCGTGTATTTATTCTCCACGGGAACCACGGCATTGTCTTGCAGTTGCACATTTCTCAGAGAAATTTCTCTGAGACGCTTGTAACCATAGTGTTATATTTACAAAGCAGATAGTTACGATTAATTGCTGGCAAAATGCTACCGTTTAACTTTACATTATGTTCTTCCTTTTTGCAATTGATTTAAAAGTAGTTTTTGTTAAGATCTTGAGAAAAAAATACCATTTTTGATACGTGCGTGTATATCTTCAATCTACTTCAAATATTTTCATAATGTATAAATATTAAATAATTACAGTAATACAAGAGTAAATAAAATTATTACGAGAAGGAGATTAAGAAGATAATATTCAAATTTATATTTAAAAAATTAAGAAAAAGTTAATATTAATATTTAAAACACTAGCTAAATCACTAATTCTAGCGATAGGATTTATAAATTAGATAAGTTAGTTTCAAATCGAAAGAGAGAAGGAAAAATAATGTGATTATTTGTTATCAAGCTTTTTCATACTTGAAACGCGGAAAGATTTTACTGATCATAACAACTAGCGATGGAAATCACGTTGCATAGCGTAATGTGCCACATTTTACGCTCCTTGAGCTCTTGCCGCATGTCCTTAACAACTTTTTTGTCGCTATTGCCTATATATTTTCATGCGCGGGCGCGATCGGCATTGCCGGATCGTTGATTTGTCAATCGTTGAAATCGACGTATAAAACCGATTGGTTCTATCGTGTATAGTGTAGGACGTTTCTTACGCGAGCTCAGCAATTTACTGTGTACCCATAGCCCTTGAGAAGCTGCGGATGTTAACATCGCGTGTGTCACTTAATCACGGTAATTATTCAGAGATTCGAATCTGATTGATTTTCCAAAACAATACTTAGAAATTCAAAATATAAAACTTCGAGAAATCATGATATATAACAAGCGTTAATTAAAACGGATGATTCTAGTTTTTTTGAAACTGTTACACATCGCCTGCGTATTTCAAGGGAATAATCACCTTGCTCAACAAAAACGAAGCTTTTTGTGAAATTTAATTTGAAGTCTTTCGTATTGCATGTCTCTTGCATTAATTCCCCACGCTCGGAGTTTCATCCGCGGTCGACGTTTGCGGGAACTTTTTTGTAATTTTTGGTGAAAATGTAAAGGAAAGGAGAGCAAGAAATTCCTGCTTACACCGTGACGACACGGGCCGGGTCTGGGGATCTTCTTTATTATTTCAGCGAAACGAAGCGTATACTCCGTACACGCTCGAGTTGGCTCGTGTGCGAGTTGTTAACTTCTTCATGCCGACTATATCCAATTTGTTGCATGCAGCAGCGTCTTCATTCGCTTTTCACAGTAAATATCATTGCAACAAGAGGACAGGCAGCACGGCACGTCGTTACATAAATTTCCATGCGATACCCGCGGCTTTAAGGAAGTAAAAAACGGTCGTTGTACTTTCATTATGAACGTTAATAACGGATGATTTCAACTTCACACCCCTATCGGTTGCAAATATAATCTTATATGTTTCATCTCGATCATAATTTATGATGTGCAATTATTATCTTACTGTATAAAGATTACAAATATTAAAAATATTTCATATATATATTTATATAAGCAATACGGAAGTTTAAATTATATTTAGAAAGCTTAAGTAGATAAGAACATTTTGATTCGATATTTTCTTTTTTGTCACAGACTTCTGATTCTCTTTTGAAAGGAAAGTTTAGCACAACTTTCCTATTATTTGTAAAGAGGTTTTAATCGATTTCTTTGGTCTATTCTTAATGGCAATTACAGGACAGTAGACGCACTGCTACCGAGTAACGTTATCCCTGAGATACCTGGCTGGTTCTAACGTCGTGATGCGTGACGGATGCCGGTATATGTCCATTCTGTAAAGACTGTGCGGGTAAGTCGTTATTATTTGTTTGAGCCGGCTTGAAATAACTTCAACAGACGGATTTCTCTTTATCGTAAGAAATCGGCATCCATAACTAAAACAATGTTCGGTCTGACGTAACGCCGAAGAATCGGATTATAGATTGCCGTAACGTTCCCTCGTAAGAATTAGGTGAATTAAAATCCGTTCGAAGAATGATCGCTGTCGAAATCAAATACTTGTTCGTACGATTTCTATATTTGATACTCAATATTGAGAAAAATTATGTTTTTTATACATAACATATGCTGTGGTGCGAAGAGCTGATATGAGAAATTAAACGTAATTGCTTCGATTATATAGATTCAATTCGCTCTGCGTGATTGCTATTTATATTTTCGATTACTCATCGATGAGAGAAAAAAGATGCGTGAGAAACGAACGTCGCATAGGTCTCTTTTGCGTTACGAAGATGAGCTGTGTGAGTATCCTTTTTTTTCTGCAGTGTCGCGCGATAAATGTCTAACGTAAACCCGTTCTAAGCCCGACTCGCGCCTGTGAACGCGTGACTTTGAGATACTCTAGGGACTTAAGTCGAGATCGCGGCGTGTAACTGCATCGCGAATACGGCAATCGGGCCAAGTCCAAAATGTCTTTTTTTTGCGAACAGTCCGTTACGATCTTTTAGATTAGAAATGCTAATCCTTCATAAAATATGTACATATGTTACAGCTTTTCTTTTCAAACAGAAAAAAGATAATCTTAAACGGTCTGAAACTCCTTCCGCTATGCTTTTGATTAAAGATTAAAAATATTTCTGTTCTATGTTGTGTTATTTAATGTTTTAATGGTTAATTAATTACTTATCACAGATGAAATTATACGTACAGTCTTCTTCGTCAAATTTAACGGCTCGCTTTCTCGATTGTCAGCAAAACGCGTGGCGTTTTCAATCATTTCGACAACTTTAATCGATTAAATCATAGACATATTATTGCTAATAGAACGACGCGGGGCGGATATGATTGTTCCGTTAGAATACTGTTATCGAGCGTGTTCTCCAGGAAATCTTTTTTTCTAAAACTTGAACGTTCGAATTATTACGTAAAATGATGGTAACTAAAATGCAGCGCAACGTTCCATAGGATAGTCAGTCTAATATTCATGGAGAGTCTAAGCGGCTGGATGAATGACTGTTCCATATTACGATGTACCGTTCATAAATTTCTCGACGGATTGAATGTATTTTGAAAAATTCAATATATATACGCATACAATTTCCCATCAAACGTCATCCTCACTGGCCGAGTAAACTGAACGCAAAAGATGCAAAAGAAGTACATATACGTGTGTCATTATCTTCTAGTAATTTCGAGATAATGTTCAGGATAAAAATCATATGTACGTAAAATATTTAAAAATATATTTAATTGTAAAAAATAATGTCCAAGTAGATAACAATTTTATCGATAGCAAAATCACAAATACAAGTCGCTAACTTATCGATTGATGGTCAGTAATAATTTTCCTACTTTATCGACGTATGTTAAAAACTTTAACACTTGTGCTTTTTTATCTTATGTAGAGGCCTTCTTTAAATTTTATATTAATAAATACGCTACATATTATATAAATTACTAATAAATTACTAACAATAATACGCTACATTTACATGTTCGTAGAATGGCATATTTTTTCTAAAAAAAAAAAAAAAAAAAAAAATGTTTATTAAAAAAAAATAATACATAGGGTAGAACAAGGCTTTTTCATTCATTTCTCACGATAATGTTTATGTTTCTAAACAACACATATTAAATATTTGAAAGTTGTGTTTGTGTTCCCAAGGAGCAATCCTGATTGTATACGCACTGTAAGCACGTCATTGCAGAGAAATATATCGTCGTAAATTTTCATATTCCTTTAAAGTTGAAATTGACAGAATAGCCCCGCCCTACCCTATATAAACAATACATCAGTACAGTAACAATATGTCAGTACAATAATTAAACTAAACCGATGTATAAACAAATTTGCAATGTCAGAATATCTAAAAGTTAAACGTTTAAGAATATTTAAAAGAGATTTATGAAAGACACAAAGGGTTTTCCATAAATGTTTCATGTATAAACACTTGCAAATATCTTTTCTTTTGTTTATACCTTTAGAAATTAGTTTAAGCTTTAGAAATCTTTTCGCAATTTAAAAAAATAACTATTTCTTATCACTATCTGCGACTCTACAATTATAACTTTCAATATATTAAAATAATAGACGACATAATGCCTCATATATTAAATACACAAAAATATGTAAATACAGAGTCGTGTTATAAAATAGTAAATAGAGGAATTTGATTTAGGTGTCCAGCACGTTGTGTGATACAAAATTAACACAGTCGTCTCACAAGTATTAGCATGTATAGCTTTCAAAGGAGACAGTTATTAGTGAGATCATATTCTCAGAAAAATTTGCAACTGTTTTTTATATATAAATGTAGACCCTAGCTTCTTTTCTTTACGCTTCTCTTCAAGTAACTACTTATCCCTTTAGTTTAAAATTCATCTAATACGAAAATGTGTGAAGGAAACGGAAACTTATCTTCTTACGAGAGAAAATTCAAGTACAATTCAAATACAAATTTCCAAATATATAAAAATGCAAACTAGGAGTGAAATTAACTACTAGTTTGCATTTTTATATATTAGGAAATTTGTACGAATTATTCGAATTGCGCGTTTCTCTCGCAAGAAGATAAGTTTCCGTTTCCTTCATTCGTTATCATACGGATGTGCGATCAAAGTTGCAAAATACAACTGTACGATCCAATTGATTACATTTTTACACAACGCAAGCTCTTGGACGGAATTCGCGCGCTAAACTGAAAAGAGTTCTCCCTGGGTCGCTCGTTAACTTCTTCTGCGGCAACAGCCGATTCCGGGTCCTCGTCGAGGTCGATATCGAAGTTGTTATTTCCCATCAACGTCCCCAAGCACATGTTCTCCTCCTTTATTCGCGAACGTACTAACATTTCCAGCGTGAAGAGGTGCTCGTCGTGCGCCTCCGGCAAGTAACGGTGCATAAACTCCGCCAAGCTGTCACACCAACCAGACAAATACTTATCGTCTTATTACATAAATTATAACGTTACCAATGTGTCAAATATCAGATGATGATGAACTTAAAAAACACATCTTGCATTATATATCTCTTACCGTAAAAGATATTCGACATTATGTCCGCTTGGACCGGAACATTCAGTGATTTGACGCGCTACAGTCTGCAACGATGCCTCGCCGAGCCACTGTTTGTTCTTATTGGTGGCAATGTAAATTATCACGGGGAATTGCATGTCCCCGTGCTGGCTGTAAAACGTTGCGATAGTTGTCAGATCGTATCCTCCCAAGGTACATTCGCGGTTTTCTAAGTAGGAAAAGTTATCCACATTGCAATTGTTCTGGAGTTGGAATGCTCGTCCGTAAACTATAGCCTGAAAGCGAATAAAAAATCTATATTGCACATGATTCTTATAGTTGATAATTTATATTGTATTTTACAAAGTATTATAATTAAATTAAGTACCTCTTTGTCCTCGATTAGGGTAACGACTCGCCCAGGCTGCAACATAAAAGAAACCGATGCAACAATCATTTTATTGAGAGATTAAGATGTGAGAGAAATTATTTAGAAAGAGAATTTTCTAATTAATTTGTATTTGAAAATCTTTTCAACGTTAAAAGAAATTCATTTATGAAATTAATTTCTCTGAAACAGATACTAATGATACACATATTCATCCAGCTTTATTAGGGGATTATATTATTACATTACATATGCGTTTGTGTGTTTATATATATATATATACATAATACATCTAATACAGACTTGTTTGTAAGCAGAAAGTACATATCGCATTGTTGCGAAATGCGAAACGAATAATCCAAGACGCGGAACTTATCTTTCATTGAAGATATCAGTTACTACCGGTTTATAACTGGCTGTATATACAATTTCACGTAATTTATACATATAAGTGTAATACAAAACGCATTACCGCAACATTTATTTATTCTCTCCTTTCAAGAAAAGAAAACATGACTTTTAGATATTTTATACGGAATATTCTAGAAGAGTCTCCGTGATTTTTTACTATAAATTATAACATAAAATGCTTGTTTGAAATCGTGAGCTAGCTTTTAAAGATAAACATATTCTGTCGCTGATTTTTTGTAGAATTTTTTAACAAATCTTCCATACATTGTTTTAATATATCTGTGACAATTTATCTATTACCGCAGCATAAGTCAAATGAAAGTGACATTAAAGATGCCAAAATGACGACAAATAACGTTAGCTTATTACTTGTATATCTTTATCGTCTGTTAAAGAATAAAGAATAGATTTGTCTATTTTCTATTTTCTTATTCATCGAATTTTGATGCGATTTTTACCATTCTATAGAGCGTTTTTTTGAAAAAGTTACGTGTATGAAACATTGTGATCTATAACAAAAAGGAGTCGAATAATGACGATTTTAGTGAAGCAGATAAAGAAAACTAACCACTTTGAGCGCTTTCTTGACTTATTCTGCCTAAACCGTTACAGAAATATTAAAACAATGTATGGAAGATTTGTTGAACATAAAAAAATCTACAAAAAGTCTGTGACAACATAATAGTCTATCTTTAAAAGGTAGTCCACAATTAATAAGCGTTTTCATATTACAGTTTGTAAAAAATCAACGTCAAACTTTCAAAATATTTTTTAAATCTATGACAAAAGAAAGCTGAGCAGTGACAATTTTGGTGAAGCAACCGAAGAAAAAACGATCGTTAAAGCGCTTTCTCGACTTATATTGTCCATGCGAAACTGAACTGAAGGTCGCTAGTGTTAAAAATAAAATTTTCGTTTATAATATTTATTTTTAAATCATTAATTTTAAATAGTTATATTTACATATTATAGTATAAATTTTATAAATATCAAAAGTAACATCTTTTTATTATTTTTTAGTACGAAAAGATAAAGAAAAGATGAAACATAAACGAAACAAAGACGGAAGTGACAAAGTGCGCGAGTTTCGTTATGTGTGTTAAAACAAAGAGAGTCAAAATGAATTTCGAGTATGCTATTTTTATTTCGTGCAGGTTACGTTCACATGGTGTCCTCTAAATCTCAATCTTTCCAGCGCAATTTTATCAAAAGTGTCATTAACATATGTGTCAATAGAATCTTATCAAATCGAGACAATCACTCATAAATTATCAGTGTCGCAAAAAATGTATCGTACACTTGGAATTGGGCCAGAACCAAAAAAGAATATGCGACATACCCCGACAAGCGCAATAAAATTCAGATATTAATAGAATTCTCAAATGACTTAAAATAAAAAACACGTGCATAATGTATGGAGCATATTTTTATACACAAAAATATACATATATTAAATATTACGAAATAACTGAATACAGCATTAACGATAAGCTAAAAATTTTTAAACGAAAAAGAATGTGATCGTCGATTTTATTCATGTATGATTTAAGTAGCTTTTATTAATTCATATTATTAATTTTTTTCGAGCTAAGTTTGGTCAACTTAGTTTGAATTTCCTAGATAAGCATATCATGAAAACGTAACTTATTATATTTTTTGAATATTTTACAATTCTATTTCTTTTTCTTATATATAAAAATTTCTGTTTTTATATATAAGAGCGCTTATACATTTTATATACAATACATACACATATGTATATATTGATGTAACATATTATATTTTGGAAATAATCTATATTTCCAATTTGTAAATATTATAGCGACGCAATGGTGAATGCGGGACACATTCTTTTTTTTCTGATTAAGAGCATAACTAATTACAAATTCATAGTCGTGAGATTTTGTTTGTTATTTTATCATATCGATAAGGTTGTTGCCACGAACGTTTGCTTTATCCAAAGTCCCTGTACGGCTGCTCCGATCTTTATTATCACGTGAACTGAAGATGCGCATTGTTACATCAATACACAAGAAGCTGCCGTGTAAAATAGTATAAGTAATAGTAAAATACTAGAGATATGTTTTAAAGTTTTAATAGTTTTTAGATTCGCAGTAAAAAATCTCTTAACATTCGCTTTTCAATATTTAAGCGGCGTAAATATGTATTACGTAACAGTATAACATATGTATTTATTTTTGTAACTCTTATTAAGGTTTAGTTTTTATACGGATATGAATAATAATTTAGATAAATACTAGTTACAAATTATAATAACAAGAAAATTAAATTTTATTTGAATGTGCAATAACATATTGCGATGATTTATGTTTCTGCATTAATATTCATGAAGAAAACATCGACCAATCACTTATAAGTTTATGAGTTGACGTAAGCGCTTACGTCTCTGCTATCAGTCTTATAAATATTAGTATGCAGAAATATATTCGTATTCACAAGAAATGTGAAGAAATATACTTCCCAGATAGCAAAGCGTGCCTCAGCAAAATCTCACAAATCTGTGATTACGTATACATCTTGCCATAGATATATCTTCAACGATTTCGAATATACCGAAATTGTAGCAACACGCAGACAACAATGTGTATACGTATTGCCAGCAGTTTAACAGCAAGATAGCTACATTAATGTTATCTTGCGTTGTCGGCAATAAGACAGCATTGTATAATGCTGCATATTATTATGACAACATGATGGCAATAGTACGAATTTTGATTATGACGATTTTAAAGTTGTCGGCAAATTGCTGGCAAGTTGCTAGCTTCAATGTTATCATATCATGAAGGCATCAAGTTAGCAACAAATGAGGACTCAGTTGCTGCAATTCTGGTAGCAACACATACTTAGCAATGCATACTTAGCAAGTAATATGCCAGCAATAAGACAAACACGTTGCTATCTGGGTTACTGACTATTTTTTTCATCTTCTTGTGAATGTACATATATTAATATTCGGAAATTATAAATATATATATATTAATATTCATAAATTATCGTAATATGTTATTATACATATTAAAATATGACCTAACTTTCTATAATTAGTATTTATATATTAATTATTATTTAAATATATATAAAGTTTAAAACCTCCATAAGTGTTGACTCAAATGCGTCTCAAAAGTGCATTTTCATTATTTTCGTCAATTTTATGTTATTTTTCGTTCATTTACGTTTGTAAAACATTTTTTGAAATAAATTTATTATTTCGATTATATTCATTAAACATGAAATTACGTTGATAGCCGCCATGGTTATAGATTTCATTGTTAGAAAAGAAAAAATCAAACAAAAGATTGTGCAAAAGTTTAAACGCAATATCGTCTCGAAGAATGGTTTGTTCAATTTATCCATCGAATACGCAGGTTTCTGAATATAGAACCGGCTTTACGCTAAGAAAAAGATATTTAACAATTTATCTGTAATATGTGGGTTATAATGTTTATTTTACAAATAAATTTTTAAATCTTTTTTTCTCAGTGTAGTCATCGGTTGTGAACGTGACTCGGCGACAATTAAAGACGAATAAAGAAAAAGATCGAAGGACAGATTGGCTCACCTTTTCTGCCGTTCCACGATGCGTGGTATTGCCTTGCCAGAATCGCCTGCTGAAGCCCTTCACGTAGCCGGTCTTGCTTTTCGTGTACGCGAAACCAGGATGCCAGCAAAGCGATCCGTATCCGAATACCCAGAGGTCGTTTCCTTCCGTACGATTCATCTCTGTTCTCTCTTGTGAAAAAGAAAGTGAGCTGACCGAGCTGTTTCTTCCTTACTTCTTCCTTTATCTTTTCCCTTTTTATTTCTTTCTTGTCTCGTTTCTGATAATATTGAAGTGCCAGAGTAATGCTTTTAAATTAAAAACTTATTGTCCCACGATACGTTTTAACATCTGTCGTACGATAAAAAAAAATTATCGTACTTTACGATTATATCCTTTTACTACAAAATAATTATACAAATTTTCTTGTAAATACCACTGTCAAAATTAAAAATCATTCATTTAATCACACATCTGAATTGTTAATCAATTTCTCTCAAAATTCTCGGAGATTCTCTGAGTCTCTTGATAAAGAATCTATTTAAATTCGAATTGTCTCATTCGAATTGTCTTTCTTTTCTAGTATACAATAAATTTTTTCTAAAGTTCTATTCCAATTGCAGAAAATTGTCGATATATAGAATAGCTCTTCATTGAATCTTTGGTGGCAACTCCAAATAATCGAATTAATAACAAGTTTCACTTTAAACAAGTTTCACTTTAAATCATCAATCCTCAAAAATCCTTAAAAATCAATCCTCGATCATCGCGCTGATGCATGCGTTTGCGTCTCTGGATCCTTCGCGGATAATTCGCGGTGATTTCAATTTATTAATTTGCAAGACGTTTCGGCTAACCGACGTGATATCATAACGGTGAGATGTTCTTCTTTCGCGTCATCCTGATTGTCCACGTATTTACTCTATAATGATGAGCTGAATCCTCAAAACTGATTTTGGATCAAGTCAGTCCAAGTCAGTCGGGAAAATCCGTTCCGAGAAGATCGATGTTTCGGAAACTGTCCCGTGATCTCGACTAAATGTATGCTCAAGTATTTCTGAGACATTTGGAGGATCTCGAAAGAAAGGCGAATCACCTGAGAAGGTCCGGTGAGAACTGCCGGCTGACTGTAGTAGCCGGTTAGTATTTGGCGAACTAGACCAGATGCGCGCTGACAGGAGAAAGAGAGAAAGATATCAGGAGAGAGTACAGAGCGAATCGGGGAAGACAGAGAAAAGTAGTGGAGTACACGCCAGCAGGAGTCATGGTGGGGATGGATGATGAAACGTACCGCCTGATTGACGCACCGGATGTGCGTGAGCATTCAGTTGAGCGAATTAATCTAAAGACGCGCCGATTCGTATTATCAAAGTATCTGGTAGAGACAATTGGTTCATACGCACGTGCTTAAATGTTTAAAATACAGGAAGGTTTACGCGCGACCCATAACACGAAAGATTTCAAAAACAAATTTCGTCACTTGCCTAATTTAGCCGATCGCAGGGCAAAAATCTAAACGACGGTTTGCGAAATAAAATATTCTGGTGATTTGTTTGATACATGTAATATATAAATAGTTTTATTTGTCAGTTAGAACCTATATGCACATTCCTTCAAATTATTTAAAACTATGAGACTTATGTTAGAATTACAAAACAAGGTTTTGTTTATTTAAAGGAAAGGTTACAATACAAATTTGTTATCTCTCTTGAGGCGTGTCAGATTCGGAAAACACTTTATCTAGAAGTTCGGAACACATATCGATCTCGTCCTGATTTTCCACAGGTTTTAATTCTGTCAACAATTGCTCCAAAATGGATCTTAAACACAATTGTGATCGACGACATTCCTTTAGTGCTGGTAAAAAGTTATCGTTTACCATACCACTGAGCACTCTCAATAATTGTTCCCTATAATAAAAGAAAAAAAATACTAGATTTATATCTTAGGAGAATGTTAAAAATTGTTATGTATCCTTGAAATGTCAAATACATTACCTGACTGTCGGCTGTAAATTCATTCTACCCAATAATCCTGCTGCTTGCTCTATGAATCCCATTTTCACTAAAGTATATTTTATGTCGTTCGAATTATTTCTACTGCACAAGCTAGAAAGTAAAAATGCAGATTTTATCTGTAGTTTCTCCACTGAGCTCTGCATTGCCCGTAATAGTACCGAGTAACCGTCGTTCATATCTATATACTTTAATGATGCTGGATGTCCTCTTACTATACCTGTATTTAAAATATAATCAATGAGATAAAAAATTTATGTCGTTCCATTACTTACATGACGCTGCATACAGAGCTTTATGTCGATCCATTACTTACATGACACCGCATACAGAGCTTTTATCCTGGCTTGTTCCGATGGATCTGTATCAATCATAGATAATAACACAGGAAATACTCCTGCTTCTAACAATTTGTCTTGACAGAACGGATTATTTTGCGCTAATTCGGCGATAATATCGGCTATTCGCCATCTGATGTTACTGTGTGAGGAATTCAAACATGGTTGAAATATCGAGAAACCTCCGATCTTGTAAAAGTCGTTGGCTATATCGATATTATCTACAAAATCCGCCATTTTTTCCAATGCACTCTCATACTCCGACGAATCATCATCTGCTCGTAGATTGTTAACATTAGACAAAATTTGTACAGCTTTCTGCATTTCATCTATTACGTTCACTGTTAACGATGATAACGCCTCATTCAAGAATGTCTTTTTCTACAAAGTATAAGTGTATCTCATTTAATACGAACAATAAACAAACAAATAGCGCATATAATTTTAAATTAAGTTTCATACTTCTTCGTCCAAAGGATAAACTTGCGGTTTATTCTCTAGGTTCTCAGACTGTGCTGCATCCATAGCATATTTAAGTAATCCTTGTAAATTAGTTGGTTGCCTTGGTTGATTTGGTAATGGTTGCGGTGGAATTTGCTCGGCGTTATTCGAGGACGAGGGTCCTTCGATGGAAAGCGGTCGCGCATTGCTGTTTGATTGACCTTGCTTGACATCTTTTTTTGGTTCTTTGTTTTCAGGACTGATACAAAAGATAATTGTTTATGTAAAACACAGGTGATTAGGTTTAGGTTAATCGCAGTATTCAAAATAATATGTACATACTTGCTCATTTTGACGCTACTCTGTTTAACGAATGATGCGCCCATTAAATGAAAACACTGTTTAAAGCCAACCTCTTCGCGAACAATCCTCGACTACTTATTCTGATTCACCGCATGTCTTTTTATGGGATTTTATATTTTTGTATACCCAGAAATTTCTTCATATACCGATATACGAGATGTCGCTGGATGTCTATTCTGTGCTGGATGTTGCATTATAGGGTGCGTTCCGAGTTACGCGTGAAGCGCATAATGCATCATTTGTCCTTGTCGTTTCACCAAATAATAAAGAAGGATAAAACGATACATTGTGCGCTTTATGCGTAACTTGGAACGCACCCATAATTATATGCGGGTGTTATGTATATTCAGGTAGAGAAATAAACCCATAGAAATATAGAGCTGAGTGGATATGGTCGCGTTTTTTTTTTTCATATTATTTCCCTTTAGATAATGAAGGAGAGATCAAGCCGTTTAAAGTGCCTTCAATCCTTCCTCTTGGATCTTTTGGCACAAGACATGCTGATGTTCCGCATTTAACTTTTAGGTTAGGTGATCACCGCGGAGCCTCATTTATTAACGCCTCTAGACGTACAAAATGAATTACATAGCCATATCCATAAATATTCTGATGGGTAACACGTTTTATGTCCACTATCTTTTGGTTCTGTTCCATACTATGACCATGATTTTTGCAAGATATACAAAATTTGTATATTTTTTTTAAAGCAACAATGTATTTTTTTTACATCAATTTATCTTATTATTCTATATATATTATTTTAAATAAATTATTAACAATTATAAAAAAATTAATAGTTTAAAAAATATTTTATATACGTTTTATTAAAATTAATAAGAAAAAATGGATACTTTTTTCTTATTGCATGATTATTCAATGCATACTTATTCAAACATTAAAATACAAATTAATACAGTATGACACAATTTTTATTATATTAAACTTATTTTTTTAGTTCTTACAAAACACTAGCAATGATACAGTAACATAATAAAGGATGTATGTATCCATGTCATCAAATATTGTAATTACAAAACTAAAACGTTTTAAGAGACTACTTATGTCATTTTAACTTTATTCTTGGTTTAATTTAATTATCTTTTTTTCCTTAGAACTAGAAAAAGATAAAAAATAAGTTAAACTGAGATTGAAGTTAATTCACTGGTAGACAGGGATATTATTCATACAATATTACATTTTTAATGAGACAGAACATTTTAAATATAAGTAATGTTCAAGGCTCAGAAGAAGAAAACTTAATAATAATTAGCCTAATAAGCCTATTTGAGCCAATCACAAGATATTTATGTGTGAATTAAAAATTAAAGAATTAAACCATTACATGTATATTAATCGTAATTAATCGTAGCTTAACGTTTCGACCTATGGTTAAGTTCCTTATCAATACTTTAATACGCGTTAAAAATATATCTGAATTGTCCAACTATCTATCAATGTTTTATATTAATTTGTAAATAATGAAAATTGGTTAAATGTGATCAAATTCATTTTTGTATAATTTAGGGAACCTATCAGTCTCATGAAACATATAAAGTTATTCAAAAAAACCAATGACACTTGAGCAATCATGTAAGTTATTTTTAGACATTAAGTATAAGTTTTATTAGTATATATATACATATTAAAATGTTTGTATTAAGTAAACTAGCGAATTTGATGACCTACAAAGCGGTTGGACAATACAGATATATTTTTAACGCGTATTGAAGTATTGATAAGGACCTTAACCATAGGTCGAAATGTTAAGCTACGATTAATTATGATTAATATATATGTAATGATTTAATTCTTTAATTTTTAATTCACACAATAAATATCTTGTGATTGGCTCAAATAGGCTTATTAGGCTAAATATTATTAAGAACATTTTAAATATATATTTTAACTGTAATACACATATGGACATGAATTTTTCCTTTTTATAACAATATATATTTTTTAAATAATTATATTTAAATGTATGCTGATATTGATTCCTAATGAAAAATTTTTGCACAAAGATGCTGTTACCTATTATTAATCATATTGATGTGATGTAAAGTAAACATATTGCATAGCTTTTCAATCAAACGAAATAATGTGGTTTCTTCACTATTATGCCATATTCCGCGACTGCTGGTGTCAGATCTTCCATAGTCAGAGTATAACGTCGGTCTTTTCCCTTCGTTTTTGTATTCTGATTGGCACCACGTGTTTTACAATGCTGCAATGCATCGTTGGCAATTTCTGAGATAAACTTTTGTGCTGCTAGTGACACCAGGCGTACTCTAAAATAACAAGAAATCGTATAACAACATGTAACATTATTTGATAGAGTTACTAAATAAATATTATATGTTTAATCAACGAAACTCTTTTAACTAACTATAGGATGATTTAAACACAATATTATGTTTGTACTTACATCCTAGGATCTATAGCATTGAAACCAGCCGTGTGTAAGTAATGTTCAGTGATGGCATCTGGTACCTAATGTTAACATTGTAAAATAACAAACATAATTAATTGCTCAAGTACAAATTAATTTTTTTCAAAAAATTTATATTATAAAGAAAATGGATAGATACCGTCGGTGTATAATCCTCTAATTGCATCAAGAAATCTGACAACGGTTGTCCCGCAGTCTTGGTCTCCTCGTTATAAATCGGTGGGGTTTCCCTTCCAAAATTCTCTGCCATTTTTTTGTGTTAACGTGAAATAAAACTGTGTTATAAATTCCTAACCTAAATCCTTAAGAAAACGAACTGTTTTACTATTTTGTAATTTGCCTCTCTTACACACCGAGGTTTCTATCTTTTCTTTTATAAATGTTTCCTCTTGAGAGTACAGTAACACTTTTTAATGTGTCAATACGCGAATATCTTTAGGTTTACAAGCAGTTCGAAGCTTAGCGTGTTTAGATACGTAAAAATGACATCCATACGTATGTATGTACATACACACATTCAATGCACTAGGTTCGTTCTTTTTTGAAGAATTCTGAACTAGTTTCGGAGTCCATTCCAAACCAAAACGTCCTCTCCGAGGAAAATTTATTTCCTAAACTAGTGCAATAAGTTAGATTAGAATAAAACAAACTATAATTGTCTCACTTTAACCAGACTTTAATTTATTGCACCAGTGTACACTAGTTTAGAACTTGAGATAAAAAAAGAACAGACCTACTGTGTACATAACTTAACCTAATCCCGGTTGGAGCATTGTGTTTTAAATTAACGATACTAACAAACTGTAAAAAATATGGCTATAATAATAAAAAAATAACTTACAAACATTGTAATCGACCATTTAATCCAAAATATTATAGGATACTTATTATTCAATACGTAAGCCAACAACAAAATTGAGAATGAAAGCATAATTAATTTTATTCCTGTCAAATTGCATTTTCTTTATATTATAAGAAATACAAAAATATTTATGTAAGTTAATAAGTATATATATTATTCTGCCTTTAAAAATTGTAATGATTATTGTTACGGTTAGAGAGTGATTTATATATAACTATAATTCTTAATATAAAACAATCTTATTTTGAAGGATGGCATCCGAGGACGTCAATTCTCATACAATATTAAATGCTTCGGAAGAGACTGGACAGTCTGTTACCAGTATATCGCAGGAAAGTAATAATAAGGATGCAAACTCGAGTAAGCCACAGACTCAGGTAAATCCAACGAGTAATCTCCAAAGGATACATCAACGCAAGCAGCAGACATACAACTGGCCACAAGAAAAGAAATTATTAAAGCTTGCAAATTATAGTGCTTGTCAAACGCAAGATTGTAAATGTACAGGCTGGAAAAACGCACAACCGATTATAAAATCACCAAAGGGCGAAATACAGCAGCCTCTTATAAGTTTTTCTGATCCATGCAAGATGTGTATTCATCCTTTGGAAAACCACATCAAACATTTGCCGGTTCAATCTGATGATGAAATCAATAGATTATTGGGAATGGCTATAGACGCAGATAATATTTTAACATGTACACATAGGGAAATAGATCCTGATACTAAGAAGGTTTATTTTTATTTATACAAATTATTGAGGAATTGTATCTTGTCTATGACAAAGCCAGCCATAGAAGGTCCATTAGGACAGCCACCATTTGAAAGACCCAACATGGCAAAAGCAGTAATGAATTTTGTTTTATATAAATTTAGTCATTTATCACCGGCAGATTGGCAAATTATGTGTGATATGGCAAAAATGTTTTTACATTGTCTGAATTTCTGGAATTTTGAAGCGCCCAGTGCCAGACAAGCAACAATTAATATAGAGGAAGCTCCTGCTTACAAAATTAATTATACCCGCTGGCTAGTCTTTTGCCATGTTCCTGCATTTTGTGACTCTTTACCGCATCATGATACTCCTTTAGTTTTTGGAAAAACTCTATTGCAAGCCGTATTCAAACCACTTTGTAGAGAATTAATGAATAAGTGTCATAATGAAAGAGACAAAATAACGCCGGAGAAGAGAATTATAGTTTTAACGCATTTTCCTAAGTATGTATTAAGTTTTTCCCCTTCTTATATTCATTTTTAATTATAACGATAACTACACGATTCTTTGTATTTAAGGTTTCTTTCAGCACTAGAAGCTGAGATTTATTCTGATAGTTCACCTATGTGGGATCCTGAATTTAAACAAGCACCACCACCTCATGTGCAAGCTGCCTTAGAATCAAAAGCACAAGCAAGAAAGGCAGGAGAATTTGAAAAAGTCATTATTACACCGAACGAGAAAGATAATTATACAACGATAAATATTAGCCCTGGGATAAGAAGACTTCCCGAAAAACGTTTTTATTCCGAAGGACGACCCGATGCAAAGAAACGGAAAAGTGAAGAAGTTTTTGAAGATTTACCAGATGAAACTGTTGCTGAAATTGTTGCAACTATTAACGATCCACATTATATGTATGGGCCTGATGCGGTATTTCCTCCTGATGTTCCACGAGACGAAACTGCTAAAATTGAAGAAAGCAGAAAGATCATAGAGTTCCACGTTGTCGGAAATAGCCTGACACAGCCAGTATCTAAGCAAACTATGCTTTGGTTGATAGGATTGCATAATGTATTCAGTCATCAATTAGTCAGAATGCCCAAAGAATATATATCTCAATTTGTATTTGATCCGTGAGTATTATCCAAAAATAATATGTTAATTTATTGTAAAAATTTATTAATAATAATCCATTGCTTATCACACAGGAAACATAAAACATTGGCCTTGATAAAAAGTGGTCGTCCAATCGGCGGTATTTGTTTTCGCATGTTTCCTACTCAGGGTTTTACTGAGATTGTATTTTGCGCTGTTACGAGCCAAGAGCAAGTAAAAGGCTATGGAACACATTTAATGAATATGCTAAAAGATTATCACATCAAAAACAACATACTGCATTTTCTTACATTTGCGGATGAGTTTGCTATTGGATATTTTAAAAAGCAAGGATTTAGCAAAGATATAAAACTGCCGAAGCCGATGTATCATGGATATATCAAAGATTACGAAGGAGCGACATTGATGCACTGTGAATTGAATGCTAAAATAGTATATACTGAATTTACAGCAGTATTAAGGAAACAAAAAGAAATAGTCAAGAAATTAATTTATCAAAGACAACAGGATATACAAAAGGTTCATCCGGGTTTAACATGCTTTAAAGATGGTGTAAAAAGTATTCCTGTCGAATCCATTCCAGGAATTCGTGAAACCGGATGGAAAAATTACGCTCAAACAAGAACAAGAGGTGTGGCCAAAGGAACGCAAGGTTCAGAACTTATAGATTGTATAGATATGTCAGAGTCTCTTTATAACACTTTAAACAGTGTTTTGAATAGCGTGAAGAATCACAGTACGGCCTGGCCATTTCTGGAGCCTGTAGACAAGGACGATGTTCCAGACTACTACGATCATATAAAATATCCAATGGGTGAGCACAGAGAAGATATAATACATTTTAAAACGATCAGAGCAATTTTTAATAATGAAATATTAAATATAAATTAAAAAAAAAATATTAAAATGAGAAAACTTAATAATAAATCAGGAACTAATGATACATGATTTTTTATATTGCAGATCTCAAGACTATGGAAGATCGTTTGAAATCTAAATACTATGTAACTAGAAGATTATTTATTGCTGACATGACACGAATTTTTAGAAATTGTAGATTATATAATAGTCTCGAAACCGATTATTATCGTTGCGCCAATGCTTTAGAAAAATATTTTCAGACACGTATGAAAGAAATTGGTTTATGGGACAAGTAGAATTTTTTGTATCCTATGACATAAAAAAGATTAAAAATGATAATAATATGTTGTTTATTATTTGATCCTCTATTAGCTACTTAGGTCAGTTGCCGAAAAGTTGGCTAAAAAGTAGCTACATCAAAGTTTTTTCTTTGCTTGTGAAATTTTCGAATTTAAAATTTGATACTGCATATGTAAATCTAATAACTCGTATGTAAATATATACATATGTAAATCTAAAAACTCGGATTTCACAGAAATTCGTTTAAAGGGAATTTAAATCACACAACCACAAATAAAGATTTAAATCTATATGGCAAAGATTGAAAGAACACTTTAAAGTTCACACGATAGCCAATCATCTTTCGGTATATATTATTATTTTTAAAAAACAGAAAACAATTGGCCATTGCGTGGACATGCGTTATATCGTTACGTTTCTTGATGAAGCATAATATAACGGTGTGTAGGATGCATTAGGGGGAACAGTTCATATAACCTAACCTAATCTGTCAAACTGTCCTATATATCGACATAATAATAACATAAGAAATTATAGAGAATCGTAGAGAATGCTGGTTTATAACTGCATAAAAGTTCTGCGGATATCGTAATTGTTTATTTAAATCACAATATCATTGTCGAATAGTTGAGTATAAATGTCACTGAGTAGAAACGTATAATTAATTCGATTCGTATAAAATTGCGATTTAATTTCTTTGTACTTTAGAAGGAACTTTTTAATGTGTGTATAAGTTCATGTAAGTTGCCTAAAAAATTATTACGATTATGACACTGATCCGTACACAAATACTTGTTCAATCCATAATATGAATATTATAATGATTTTTTGTAGAATGGCATCCGAGGACATCAATTCTCATGCAACTGCTTCTTCGGAAGAGACTGGACAACCTGCCAGCAGTAATCTGCAACAAGAAAGTAATACCAAGGATGCAAATTCAGCTAAGCCGCAGACTCAAGTAAATCGCACAAGTAATCTCCAAAGGATACATCAACGCAAGCAGCAAACATACAATTGGCCACAAGAAAAGAAACTGTTGAAGCTTGCGAATTACAGTGCTTGTCAAGCAGAGGAATGCAAATGTACAGGCTGGAAAAACGCTCAACCAATTATAAAATCACCAAAGGGCGAAATACAACAGCCTGTTATAAATTTTTTCGATCCATGCAAGATATGCACTCATCCTTTAGAAAATCATATCAAACATTTACGGGTTCAGTCTGACGAGGAAATCAATCGATTATTGGGGATGGCTATCGATGCTGACAATATTTTTGCATGTACGCACAGGGAAGTAGATCCTGATACTAAGAAAGTCTATATTTATTTGTACAAATTATTGAGAAATTGTATCTTGTCTATGACGAAACCAGCCGTGGAAGGTCCGTTAGGGCAGCCACCCTTTGAAAGACCTAACATAGCGAAAGCAGTAATGAACTTTGTTTTGTATAAATTTAGTCATTTGCCGTCGAGAGAATGGCAGATTATGTACGACATGGCAAAGATGCTTTTACACTGCCTGAATTTTTGGAATTTTGAAGCACCTAGTGCCAGACGGTTAACAATTAATACAGATGAGGCTCCTGCTTATAAAATTAATTATACCCGCTGGCTCGTTTTTTGTCATGTGCCTGCATTTTGTGACTCCTTGCCACATTACGACACTCCTTTGGTTTTTGGGAAAACTCTATTGCAAGCTGTATTTAGATCAGTTTGTAGACAATTAATGGATAAGTGTAATAATGAAAGAGATAAAATTGCACCGGAGAAAAGA